GGGGACCAGTACGGACTAAGGGGACCGGTACGGACTAAGGGGACCGGTACGGACTAAGGGGACCGGTACGGACAAAGATGACCGGTACGGACTAAGATGACCGGTATGGACTAAGATGACCGGTATGGACTAAGATGACCAGAACTGACTAAGATGACCAGAACTGACTAAGATGACCAGTACTGACTAAGATGACCAGTACGGACTAAGATGACCAGTACTGACTAAGATGACCGGTACTGACTAAGATGACCGGTACGGACTAAGATGACCGGTACGGACTAAGATGACCGGTACGGACTAAGATGACCAGTACGGACTAAGATGACCAGTACGGACTAAGATGACCAGTACGGACTAAGATGACCAGTACAGACTAAGAGGACCAGTACAGACTAAGGCCCCGTTCACACTGAGCGATTTATCGCGCGGTAATGCGGATATTTACCGCGCGATATCGCTCTCCAATACATCTCAATGGGGCTCTGTCTGTCGCTGTCGCGGGTCGTGCGTCGCTACAGCAGGACCCTTTTTGGAGCGGATTTTGCCGCGATCTTAGTCTTTTCAATGCAAGCATTTGCGCGATATCGCGCGATAAACTGCGCAATATCGCGCAAAATGCAAACGACAAAACGCGCGATTTGCGAATCGCTCAGTGTGAATGGGGCCTAAGAGGACCAGTACAGAAAAAGATGACCACTACGGACTAAGATTACCATTAGTCCGTATTGGTCATCTAATAGATCGGAATTTCAAATAACAAACTAAATAGAATTTAAGATCAAAATCTAAAAAAAAAAATTGAATCGATCCGAAAATAATTTGTTGAGCCTTTGAGTCTAGTATTTGGATACAGCAGATCATGCAAAGAAAGGAAACTACGAACATAAAATTCAATGTTACGCTGAAGCACGGACATGTCACTGATCATGAGAATTGAGGTTTGAGTTAAAGCTGAACTCTGAGATAAGCAAAAATTTCCCCTGTCTGTTTTTGTTGACATTTGGTGAATTGCCATGACATTCATTTGAGCGGGCTGCCTTATCACAATGCATGTTAACGCAACGCACCGGGATGCCAAGGTCTGAATGAGCTTTTATGGTTTCTCAACACAGATCTGTTTGCGGTCGTTGCCAAAACAAGAAGTTTGTAACCAAAGGAAAGAAGGATGCACCATTGTGAGAAGTGGCCATGGAGGCGGACACCCTACCCAGTGCTAATCCCTAAACCATGTGGGACAAGGTGCCACCAAGCTTAGCACCAACCTGGCCATCTGTCTTATGATTTGATTTAGGAGGGCAGAATCTTGGCTGCATCTTCTTACAAAGTGGATCTACTTAACCAAGTCGGATTCCAGGCTAAAAAAAAATGTACATAACATTTACATAACATTTCAGTTAAACATAAAAATATAAGAAGCTAAACTGCTTTTAAGTGAAGGGTATTGTGGCACTCTGGGGATATCTATCGCTTACATATACAGATATGAGGGGTTCATCGTATTGTTTCATTTTATTGTGTTTTGGCCTATGTGATTAGAAGTAAAATAAACGATATATCTGATTTTTCTAAAGATTATGCCCCTGGTCATGTGACAGTGCTCAGACCTAGCCATAGGCTGCTAGGTGGTGTCACGGTTCCATCTTCTTCCTAGGTGGTGGCAGAGGACATTTGAGCACCACGCAATCCAAGAGTACTGTGAGCTCAATTGGCATGATGATGTGTCCCCAGGGGGCAAGTCCATGATGGCTTGAACTCAAAAGAGTGCAAAAAGAACAAAACCAAGTCTGGCCTGGCAGTGAGGAAAGTGAATTGAATTTTGGAGTGCATTACTAGAGGGATAACTATATAGATCTTTAGTTATCACTAGCGGGATCACCAGCTGCAGGAATGAAGCCATAATTATCTTATGACTTACAGTATATATAGCTTTAGTTATCATTAGAGGGATCCCCAGCAGGAGGAAGGAGCTCCTGATTCATCTATATAGATCTTTATGATCACTAGAGGGGTCCCCAGCAGGAGGAAGGAGGTCATGATTCCCCTATATAGATCGTTATGATCACTAAAGGGATCCCCAGCAGGAGGAAGGAGCTCCTGCTTCCTCTATATAGATCTTTAGTTATCAGTAGTGGGATCACCAGCAGGAGGAAGGAGGTCCTGATTCTTCTACATAGATCGTTATTATCACTAGAGGGATCTCCAGCAGGAGGAAGAAGGAAGAAGGTCCTGATTCCTCTATATACATATTTAGTTATCACTAGGGGGATCCCCAGCAGGAGGAAGGAGGTACTGATTCCTCTATATAGATCTTTAGTTATCACTAGAGGGATCTCCAGCAGGAGGAAGAAGGAAGAAGGTCCTGATTCCTCTATATAGATCTTTAGTTATCACTAGAGGGATCTCCAGCAGGAGGAAGAAGGAAGAAGGTCCTGATTCCTCTATATAGATCTTTAGTTATCACTAGAGGGATCTCCAGCAGGAGGAAGAAGGAAGAAGGTCCTGATTCCTCTATATAGATCTTTAGTTATCACTAGAGGGATCTCCAGCAGGAGGAAGAAGGAAGAAGGTCCTGATTCCTCTATATAGATCTTTAGTTATCACTAGAGGGATCTCCAGCAGGAGGAAGAAGGAAGAAGGTCCTGATTCCTCTATATAGATCTTTAGTTATCACTAGAGGGATCTCCAGCAGGAGGAAGAAGGAAGAAGGTCCTGATTCCTCTATATAGATCTTTAGTTATCACTAGAGGGATCTCCAGCAGGAGGAAGAAGGAAGAAGGTCCTGATTCCTCTATATAGATCTTTAGTTATCACTAGAGGGATCTCCAGCAGGAGGAAGAAGGAAGAAGGTCCTGATTCCTCTATATAGATCTTTAGTTATCACTAGAGGGATCTCCAGCAGGAGGAAGAAGGAAGAAGGTCCTGATTCCTCTATATAGATCTTTAGTTATCACTAGAGGGATCTCCAGCAGGAGGAAGAAGGAAGAAGGTCCTGATTCCTCTATATAGATCTTTAGTTATCACTAGAGGGATCTCCAGCAGGAGGAAGAAGGAAGAAGGTCCTGATTCCTCTATATAGATCTTTAGTTATCACTAGAGGGATCTCCAGCAGGAGGAAGAAGGAAGAAGGTCCTGATTCCTCTATATAGATCTTTAGTTATCACTAGAGGGATCTCCAGCAGGAGGAAGAAGGAAGAAGGTCCTGATTCCTCTATATAGATCTTTAGTTATCACTAGAGGGATCTCCAGCAGGAGGAAGAAGGAAGAAGGTCCTGATTCCTCTATATAGATCTTTAGTTATCACTAGAGGGATCTCCAGCAGGAGGAAGAAGGAAGAAGGTCCTGATTCCTCTATATAGATCTTTAGTTATCACTAGAGGGATCTCCAGCAGGAGGAAGAAGGAAGAAGGTCCTGATTCCTCTATATAGATCTTTAGTTATCACTAGAGGGATCTCCAGCAGGAGGAAGAAGGAAGAAGGTCCTGATTCCTCTATATAGATCTTTAGTTATCACTAGAGGGATCTCCAGCAGGAGGAAGAAGGAAGAAGGTCCTGATTCCTCTATATAGATCTTTAGTTATCACTAGAGGGATCTCCAGCAGGAGGAAGAAGGAAGAAGGTCCTGATTCCTCTATATAGATCTTTAGTTATCACTAGAGGGATCTCCAGCAGGAGGAAGAAGGAAGAAGGTCCTGATTCCTCTATATAGATCTTTAGTTATCACTAGAGGGATCTCCAGCAGGAGGAAGAAGGAAGAAGGTCCTGATTCCTCTATATAGATCTTTAGTTATCACTAGAGGGATCTCCAGCAGGAGGAAGAAGGAAGAAGGTCCTGATTCCTCTATATAGATCTTTAGTTATCACTAGAGGGATCCCAGCAGGAGGAAGGAGGTCCTGATTCCACTATATAGGTATTTAGTTATCACTAGAGGGGTCCCCAGCAGGAGGAAGGAGGTCATGATTCCCCTATATAGATCGTTATGATCACTAAAGGGATCCCCAGCAGGAGGAAGGAGCTCCTGCTTCCTCTATATAGATCTTTAGTTATCAGTAGTGGGATCACCAGCAGGAGGAAGGAGGTCCTGATTCCTCTATATAGATCTTTAGTTATCACTAGAGGGGTCCCAAGCAGGAGGAAGGAGGTCCTGATTCCTCTATATAGATCTTTAGTTATCACTAGAGGGATCCCCAGCAGGAGGAAGAAGGTCATGATTCCTCTATATAGATCTTTAGTTATCACTAGAGGGATCCCCAGCAGGAGGAACAAGGTCCTGATTCCTCTATATAGATCTTTATTTAGACCGCATTCAGAATTCTGAATCTGGAGATCTCACTTACAAAATGATAATGAGAAGATAGAGCTCTAGAGCTGGGCAACAAAAATAATGAGAGGTCTGAGGGATAAAATATATTATGAGAGACTGCAGGAACTTAATATGTACAGTCTGGAGGAAAGAAGGGAAAGGTGGAACATGAATGAAACCTTTTAATCCAGGAAGGATGTGAATAAGGATCCGGAGAGCAGATTTTCAATGTAAAGCTCAAGATCAAGAACATGGGGATAGGACCTCCAACTAGCAGGAGGAAAACTAACCCTAGAAAGTATCATTTTAGTGAAAGAGTAGTTGTTGGTTGGAACAGACTTAAAGCAGAGATAGGAAATCAGTGAATATTAAGCATGCTGGAGGTCAAACAGATCTTCAATCAGACACAACGTAAACATAAATACATATAAAGAAAAGGGGACAGACTTGATGGACCACTTGTTTTTTTTCTGCTGTCATTCTTCTATGTCCTATGGTGTCATCCACCTGGCTGTGCTTTATGACAGGGCTTTATAAATCTCAGAACTGGATGGATAGAAATACAAATCCTTTGACAGGTGAAACATCTCCCATGTATGCATTTCATCTATATTCAGCTGTATGCCTGGAGTTCAGTTTGAATTATATTATATTATATTGGTCCCAATAATTGTCACTGATTAGGAATTACCTTACCTTGCTGGCTTCATCTTCAAAGACAGACTGGTGGACGTTGCAGGCGAAGAGCGAGTTGGGAAGATCGTTGAAGTCTGTGATGCCCTGAAAATCTTCTGCAGTGAGGTACCTGGACAAATCCAAGCTTCTATGGATGGGGCAGAGTACCAGAAGATCTCCACCCCCGACCACACAGGTGAAATAACTTGTGTCCCTCATCCCGGTGAAATACAGGTCTTCCCTCATCCCTAAACAAGGAACAGAATGGATACATGTAAATGCTGTGACATTGAAAGAGAATGAAGCTGTATTTGAATATATACTACCATGCAATCAGGCCGCTTATGTTCTCTTTCAGAAGTGCATGTGACATGGTGACAACACAGGGACAGAGTCACTCTATAATAGGAAGTGTCTGGACACGGCAGGATCTTCAGGAATAATTTAAAGAAAGCTTAAAAAATATTGAAATTGCCTTTTTTAAAGGGATTTATTGTGCTCAGAGCTAAAAATGAAAATCTGATGCTTACAGAGCTCAATAACCCAAACTGAAATACATACATAATAAGCTAAAGCACTGACTCCGCCCCTTCCCCATCCTATGGACAGTTCCATATAATTAAGGTTCCTGAAACATGCAGTAAGAATCAGTGTATTCTTATGGCTGAGATCACTCTATGTTACTTTCCAATGACCCCTGCACTCTACGTTATTTCCCACTGACCCGTGCACTCTGTGCTACTTACTCTTGACCCCTGCACTCTATGTTGCTTTCCACTTACCCCTGCACTCTACATTATTTACCACTGACCCGTGCACTCTTTTACTTTCCACTGACCCCTGCACTCTGTTACTTTCCACTGACCCCTGCACTCTATCCTATTTACCACAGATGCATGCACTCTGTGCTACTTACTCCTGACCCCTGCACTGCAGGTTAAATACTACTGACCTCTGAACTCTGCATTACCTGACTCTTGAATTCTGGATTAATATGACTAACCTCATATTAAGGACAAACACACACAGGAATTGACACGGATGGAATGAAGCGAGTGAGAGGCAACAAACCATTGGACTCTACTTAGGAGACCTTTGGATTTGAATTAAAGGTGAGGGTATTTTGGGCACTGTTTAACAAAATGGACTTGTAGTTATCAAATTGGCACACCTTGCAGTGGAATAGGAATATAACAAAGGGGAGGATTAGAGAGGAGATACACTGTAATCTAAGAGCATTGGATGGGATCTATATATATGGCACAATAAGTATATAATATATGAGGAGGAATGATAACGTGAAAGGTTGGTGATTGTATAACTAGACACAGTAAGAAAGAAAGGGACACCAAGATTACTGATGCCTCTTTTGAAAAGAATAACAATCACTTATTTATGGGACACTAAAGGGTATTTCACATAAAACCAAGTCATTATGACACACATTGGTGCAACTGAGGTTATAAGAATGAAGACGTAAATGGATGAGTTTATGATATAGGTACACAAACTTATGAATCACTATGGATACTAAGCTGTAACACTCAGATTATATCTATCATCACGGTTATGTTTTAGATATTGGAGCTTCCCTGGACCCTTTGTGTGTCTGTGGCTCCGCCGTATGTTTCTTTCTGGGGGTGATGAGAGTTGCTCTTGTCCCCCTGGTGTTGTGTTAGGTCCCTCCATGATACTTGACCCCTAGGTAAGTGGCTGTACAATTCAATCATACTAAGAATAAATGTATATGGATGAATGGAAACATGTAAAACTGGAAAATATGATTTTACAAATGTATTATGAAATGGCTTATAAACATGTTGATGAACAATGTATCATGTATTTACAAATAGATTTATACCGATCCCCCTGAAGAAGCCTATGAGCGTAACGCGTAGGGGACTAACAAAGCAATACAACACTGCATATAAAAATCAAGGAATTATGAATATACATAGTGAAATATGAATTATATACAAAATATTATGAAATGTGAAAAGAAGTAATACTTTTAGGGTTATAAGAATCATGTGTATATATATGAGCATTGTTTTTAATATTTATAATTATGTAATAAATCTTTTATATGAACATCAACAAAATTGTACGAATTATAACTATATGAGTACCCTCAAAAAAAAACCTGCACAACCTAGGTTGTATATTGTGTAGTTTTTTAACCTCTAATCTCCTCAAACCTTCCTTGCTTTTTTGCTAGGGCCATGCTATTTCATGCTACACCCCAATGATCCTTGATATTTTCTATATTAGGTTAAGCTAGACCCTCACCTCTTCAGGGTTGCCTACCGCTGGTCTACATGGTCCTGTATGTGGGAATATAGCCACCCTACTAAGTGTACTCCCGAGATGGACAATATTTGTACATGCCAACGCATCCAGAAGCAACGCATTAAAACCACCGAAAACCTCCAGTTCATTATTCAATTCACAATTGCCTTTTGAGTGACCAGGAAAAGAGTGCAGGACACTTGTGGTAGGTGCCAGTATTCATGAATGACAATGAGGATACGTGTGCATTGGAATAGGAACGTGTAATGCTTCCTGAGAGTTGTAGTGTGAGGAGAGCAGTGCACGTGACCACAATACACATGGATTGGTCATTATAACAATGGGAGCCTCCATGGATGGCACTTGGGGAACACAATACTGAGAACAATACCGCTATGTAGACATTGATTGCTGATGTTTAGGATATTACGCTGAGTTTGTACGTTGGTTTTCAATGGAGGGTTTAGTGACACTTTAATCCTGGAGAATAATCCACGTTTACACAGAGCCCTGACCTCAGGCTGATGAATGGGGTTTCATTTTAACGAAAAAGTTTTAACCTTATTAAAATACCGGAGCGGTGCTGTGGAAATTCCGCCCGGTATTAGGTGTCTAAGCCGTGTTTTGTTGGCAAAGAGACAGTCACTGGCCGGCTAAACCTGACACCATAATAAGCCAAGTGAAAGCCGAGCCGGAGTACGGAGCCAAGGCACTGCCTGCTGGAAGACACATCGAGACGTCAACCTTGGGGAACAGTTCATGGGGGGTGATAAGAAAAAGTGGGTGTGGCTAAACGGTGTAATAGGAGTGGCTTAAAGGCATACTCCACCGTTTGGACCATGTTCCATGTTCCACTCATACTTAGGTTGTAACAGAAGACAAGGTCATCATCTCCAACTCTCATACGGCTTTCCCTCCATTTACATGAATTGTAGGGCGCTGCTCCCTGCAACATCCTGTTGTTTTCTGAATTGAGTACATTTGTGCATGGCTCCTCCCATTGGGTTTTGTTACTGGAAAGACTACAAGCCCCATTTGCCACTGTGACTCATCAATTGCACTGGTAGCAGAAGGGTGATATCACCACACTTGCAGTCCATTGTTTCCTTCCTCCAGCCCCATAACCGGTTCATACCGTCATACAGACCAGGGGCTGGGATGAAAACAATGCCAGATCATGTACTGATCACAGTCGCAATGCTCTGCAGGTCTGAATGCAAACATTTAAAGGAGAACTATGAGGTGAGTGCTTTTCACTCACTTCATAGTTCTAGCCGACCTGTGACAATGAGACTGTCACAGGTCGGCTCAGTAGATCGGGAGGTGAGCGAACACATACCGGCGTTCGCTCGCCTCTCGATCCTGTCTTCCGTGACAGGGGAGGGGCTTAATTCCCCCCTCCGATCCGCCAGCGCTGACTGGCGGAACGGACGGGGGAGGGGGCGGGTACAGCTGGCTCTGCCTCTAGATAGGCAGAGCCAGCTGTCAGTCACGCAGCTGGGCGGATCCCGGCATAATTGTTGGGATCCGTTTCAGCTGCGGCGTCTCGGTATACCATGAACTACAGCTCGCAGTATACTGAGCCTAGGGTGACGGGAGGACGCTAGTTTGTGTCCTCCCGTTACCCTAAGGAGAACTATGGGGAAAAGCCTTAACCCCATAGTTCTCCTTTAATAATAGCACATTTGGGTGTTTTTTTATTATTGTGGGTGCAGTTTGTTATATTTTTGTAAAAGGTGGACAAAGCGGTACTGGTGAGGTGTCTGGAGAATGAGAGGGATCATGGGAGACTTGTACATTATGTGGGATGACAGGGGTAAAAATCAGGGTCACTCCATACATTTTCAGACATCCCAACCTGCGAAACCTTATTTCAGGGAGGTTCCCGTCTCATTTCAGGGAGGTGCCCTTTCTAGAAATCCCTGATACACAGTTGACAAGTTGCTACGGGCAGCAAATGAAATAAATGTTCTCTATAACTAGACAACCAGGACATATAATTGATTCTATATTATCCACAAAGGGTTAACAGCACTCTCTCAACCCTGCAGCAGTGCCTGTACCTGCTCTCAATAGTAGTCTATGTCCACCATCTCTGTGCAGCAAGTAGCTTCTTCCTTCTGAGAGCCAAGCCTCGTTCTGAGGCTACTCTACAGATCACATGACCTTCCTCCAGGAGGCAAGCCTCACTCTGAAACTTCACCCATTGATATCTTACCGGAAAAGTTTACTCAGAGTAAGCCTTTCAGGGAGAGAATGCCTCTCTCGCGGACATCAGGGAGCTGCTGTCCAAAAGAGGGAGACTCCCTGAACATCAGGGAGACTTAAGATTCCTGCATTTTAAGGTCAGCAAACATGGCTGCACACTGTAGGAAGCAAGGTGTCGGTACATCAGACTACAGGAAGAAGTACAACAATTAGAAGGTAGAACAAAGCCTTATAAAGCCATAGAATTGTTCATTATTTCACTGTAAGGCTAGACTGACACCTTTCTATGTAAATGCATTTTTAACAGTAACATTAATGTGCTTTTGTAATGCACATTTTATTTGTATGCGTTGCAATTGTCATAAATAGGCCTGATAATATGCATTGGAGAATTAATAAACAGAAAACGTATGTCTACACATTAAACGTGCCCCCCAGAAGAGAGAGGGACACCATATAGCACAAAGCATACAGACAAAGGACAAGAGGGACAGAGGGTGCAATAAGGAGCAGAGTAGAGCAAGAGTAGGGGGCGGGGCTAAAAGTGGTGCACTACGCCTGCCGTGCTGAACTGTATGTATTGGGCAGTAAGACAATGACATCTGCACTGGGTAATGATGTCACCCTGTCCTTGGTGCTGTAGGGGGGAGTCCCCCCTTGCACATAAGAGTCCCCCCTTAACATCAGGAGCCTCCCTCCACATTAGGTGACCCCTTTCACATAAGAAGCCCCTCCTTCACAACAGAGAACC